AGCTAAATGACCTGTCGGCTAAATGACCTGTTTGTTAAATGTCCGTGTCGGCTAAATGTCCTGTCGGCTAAGTGTCCTTGTCGGCTAAGTGTCCATGTCGGCTAAATGTCCTGTCAGCTAAGTGTCCATGTTGGCTAAGTGTCCTTGTCGGCTAAATGTCTTGTCGGCTAACTGGTGTCGGTTAAGTGTCCCGTCGGCCAAGTGGTTGTCGGCTAAATGTCTGCGACCGTGAGGTGAGACCATATCTAAACTTACTAAATATCACCACTTTTTACTACTGGAAATATAGTCTCTTTTAGATTTCAGACGCGAGAATGTATTATTCTTTTTGCAAACTCCTATTGAGAGTGTAGAATTAGCCAGAAATAGATCAGCAAGAGGAAGACCTAGTAAATTCAGCATTCAAAAACCATTGCATGGAGATGGTAGTCATTTTATCGTGAAGTCTTTTGATAACAAAAGACTTTGTTGTAAAGAGTACAATAGCCAGACTGTTTATAGATGCAAAGTATGTAATGTAGCTTTACATCATGACTGTAATCAAGCTTTTCATGCTTGAATCTTTCAATTGAAATAAAATCTATATTTATAAAAGAAATACAATGTATATTTTAATATTAAATTAATTACAAGTAAAGTGATTTGTAGATTTATAAAACGTTACACAGCTAAAAAGTAATCCTGCGCTCCACTCAAAAGAAACATCACACGAGTACAATCCTACTCACTAAACATCCGTAGTCTTATTCCGCTGATGTTGCGCGAACGCAACACTCGCTTTTTCCACAGGTAAGAGTATTTTTTTAATTTTCAATGTAAATTCATGTTATAAATGCTTAATTTAATATTTGTTATTATTTTCATGAGAAAAGAAACATTCCTTGTAGTTTTGGTGGTTAATGTTGTTAAAATTTCTATTGGTTGTACTTTTTAACACTTTTTTGACAGCTATAACACATTTCTTCTCATTATCACTGAACATATCTTGGGGCTAATAATTAAAACAATCAAGTATGATGAACACCAGTATATTAATGAAGTAACACACAAAAGAAACAATAAAAGTGAGAGAGTTTTTAAAACTGCATTGCTCGCCCGAAGCATTCCAAGTTCTAACTAATGTTTGTTAGTTAGAACGTTGATGCAGCATTCAGTGGTTACTGAATATTGCATTTATTTACCCTTATTTACCCATTATATAGATGAGATTTAAATTAATGTAATTAACAGTTAATTAGCCAAAATGCAGTCACCTGCTGGCATAAGATCGTCTGCTCATATTGGATAATATAAATATTTGAAAAATTTGCATTCAAATTTTTGCACAATTTACAAACGGAAATTTTACACACAATTAATCTTACACAGTATATTGAATGAAATTAGCCACTTTATTTTTAAGAAAAACTAAGCTAAGTAAATATAATACCACTAACACATATTCATTAGCATTTCAAGCGACAGTAACATAAGCACGCAGTCTTCGAACGTGAACAATTGCGAACGCTTGGATGAAATCCAACATGAGCGCTTGGACGAAATTCCCTTTTTCCCTCTGTCACTCCGAAAACCGGGCGATGAGCAAAAGTGAGGTTTGGGGTCTAGACGCTTGTTATGCAATCTGTTAATGAGACTGAAAGAATTGGGCAGTCATTAATTTACGTAATTTTTCATATCAAGTCATTTGTGAGTATAGTCTGCCTTTCTATATTTTTAATACCAGATTTTATTCTAGAAATGAAATATTTTTTTCCTCCAACTTCCACCTAGAATTTTTGGTCTCCACATTGGTGTCAAAATTTAAAATTCTGCATCATCATATTCACAAACAGGCTAATGTACATATATAAATTACCAGGGTTCGTACGGTACTTAAGAGTCTTTAAATTTTTTGGAATGGATTTTTTGTCCTTAAAAGTCCTTAATTTGGGCCAAAATCAGCAGAAGGTCCTTAATTTTAATCATCTGAAATTTCTGTCTGTTTTTACGACTGCCATTTTGAGTGTGAATTAGCATTTTGGAGGAATATAATAATAACACATCTGATGGGAAATCCGCCTGTGCCGCACACTGCTGCAAGAACCAATGACAGAAATCAACTCAAAGAGGGTAATCTATCTCTTGCAAGGCTTGGACTCTGACTCTGCAAATGGTATGGGTGCAAACCATTTTCATGCAATAATCTGCAAATGGTGGAATGACTCAGCTGCAGATGACGTGCAATAGCTCTTGTACTTGTCTGAGGTGATTCATGCACTATGATCAAGATGGATTCTTCAATGCGAGGTTGTCGCACACTTCTTCTTCCACTCCTAGTGTCAGAGGTGGCTTGAAATGACCTGCTTTCACACAGACACCAATGCAACCTCTCGAACATTGTGTGCTTTGGCATACGCCTGTTCGGAAATCATTCTTGATACAACCGTAGCGTTGCTTTGCCTTTCCCATTAGCAGCACCCTACATGAGATGCATGTCAGCTTTTTCCCTGTACGTAAACTCACCCATCACTCTTGACAGCAGTGAACATTTATTATGAGTACTGTATTGCTGCAAAGAAGCACTTTGCATTGATTTTGTACATAAACACATTTTCCTCTCGTGTCGTTTTTTTGCGTTCCTTTAGGCCCTACATTCCTATACAAAAAGGCGCATGTTTTAGTACACTCCACCACCCCTCCAAGTTTGTCCCATGATCTATGAAACACCCTGTATATACAAAACAACTTATCACCTCTGGTGCTTTAATGGCTTATTGGAACCTTAAGTATATTAACTGGGTTACAACCCCTGGAACTCTACACAAAGCTATGACATTGACTGCATTAAGCAGAGCCTGACTGACTTTCAACACTTGCCAACCGTGCCTACATAAGGCTTTTCAGGTTTGTTCTAATCAGCAGGTCTCTCTCTAGACAAGCAGCAGACGTGATAACATTCATTCTTTTGTTATGAATCATGCTGATTATGATCTTACTTCTCATTTTAACCTATGCCATTTGACATAAAATCTACCTGCTATTTACTTAACTTCTAGACCAGCGGTTCTCAGCCTTTTCACTAACGTGTACCATCTAAACAAAAATTGAAAACCTTTAGTACCACCACCACTCTTGAACAAACTCATATCACATAAGTTTAAGAGTATTAGAGAAAAAACTCAATCAGGATGTTGGGGTTTTAATTTTTGAAATAAATAGTTAAAAATACTTGCTTCTTTGTGTACCACCTATTTTTTTTGTGTACCACCAATGGTACTCATACCACCGGTTGAGAACCTCTGCTGTAGACTGACCAAGTATGTGACAAAATGAGACATAAAAAAAAATCAACATAAAGCTAACTATTAGTAAAATGTAAATGTCCCTTATCTTCTTTCAAATATGTCCAACCTATTATAAGTGTAAAATATTTAATGCTACTTGATAAACTGCATGAAGTTTATTTTATTCTCAAAATTATTAATAATTATGTTAATTAATTCATGTTTAGTAATAATGCATACTACTTAGTTTTTTTTTTTTTTTTTTTTTTTTTTTTGCAGAAATGTGTAAGAACCCTGTAAATAGCGCTTTTGTGTCGTAATAGACTTTTGGGAATAAAAAGGGAAGGGCCCGAAATATATCTGAAGACAATGCAAAATGTAACAGAGCTCCACCTAGTAGTAACCCTAAAAGACCATACACAGTAGAGGAAAAAAAATATGCTTCTTTTCCCCACCCTTGCAACAGTTGATAAGTAAAATACTGAAGTCAGGCAGAATATATATATATACTAAAGGTCAGAAGCCTGAAACTGTGCTCATTTCAAAATTAATTGACATAAGGTGCCATCTAGTGGTCTTCAAAGCATTCCAGCTTAAAATGTGTATACGTATTGCTTATCCCCTGAATTCAGTCTCTAGTGATGCATGGATGGAAGGCCCGGCTGTGAGAGACGTTCTTGGGGTACGCGTATATGGGATGCCTGTCCAGAAAGCATTACACTGCATCTGTTAGCTAAATTTTTATAATTATTAATTTTAGTCTGTACTTTCATAAACTTTCTTTCAGAATATGATATTTACATTATAAAGAAAGTAAGAGAACAAAATATTGTAAATTATCATCTAATATGTACAAATAATAAAAAAAAAACCTCATGACTAATAAAGGCAGTTATTCAGGAGGTTAAGACACATAAAGCAGATATAAACTCTTTGCTTGATTCTGGACACTGTATGTGCTTTTCTTTTTATAACGTAGGAATCCAGTCAAAAGTTAATCAAATCAGATCAAACAATTTCTTTATCATGTCACGTGCCCAGATTACAATAAAAAATAATCTTTATTGTAAGAATTTGTACAATTAAATAGTACATGATTGTGCTAGACATGACTGTAATATATAACAAAAAAAAAAAAAAAAAAAAATGGGGAACATCATTTTCTTTAAATAGATAAATAATTTTTTTTTTAAATTCTTTAATTGTGCTGCTGTGACAAGGAGAAAATTGTCAGTTGTTTGAAAGAATTTGTGGAGAGGGAATGCAATGCTCTGCATTGAAGATGACAAATCTCCCCCTATTTCTAAGCAGAAATGCTGAGCGAACAGGTGAATAAACTGTGAATGCTAAGTGAACATGTGAATGGTTTATATGTTTACGGCAAAGCATTGAGGGCTATCTGCCTAAGGGGAGAGATGCCTTCGTGGAGGACTTTCTAAGAGAAACTGTCTTATATACACATTACACATGGGGAAAACCGCAAAAATGCCCATGCAGCCAGCCTGTTTGTGGATTCAAACTTTGGACCGAACTACCAGTGTTCCAACGACTTTACCGCTCGGCTGCTGGTGGACCCAAACAAGGCCGGATTTACACTTGATAAGGCCCTAAGCTATATGATATATAGGGCCCTTTATAAGTCCAGACATTATATGTCAGTGTCAAGCCTCCACTTTCTTGGGGGCTAACTGTTTTTTGAAGTATTGTTTCGTAATGTGTATTTATTTTTTCTTTCAGATGTTAAACCTAGCAATATTCTTCTGGATCGTAGGGGTAATATAAAATTATGTGATTTTGGTATAAGTGGTCAATTAGTAGATTCTATTGCAAAGACTAGAGATGCTGGATGCCGACCATATATGGCTGTAAGTCTGGTCTTTTTGTTCATAATTTTTTTTCAGATATCATAAATGATATCAAATAGCTGTAGTATACAGTGTGAACAAAGTAATTCACCCTTTTTTATCAATTAAGTTACCTATCTTCAAAATAAAATTTTAACTTATGTATTCTGATTACATTTTTAGACACATTCATAGGTTCCGTGCTGTGTGTTATCAAATTGTCCATAATTTTCTTATGTAAAATTTATATTATATGCAAAATTGTTCATGCTTAGAATAAAGAATACATGCTTATACATGCTTATAAGCATGTATTCTTTATTCTAAGAATAATACATGCTTATAAGATGTTAAAGGGTAACATAAAAGATGTAGAAAGCAGTGTGTGTGCTAAACTTCAGAGATGAAAACATGAACCTCTGCTATTCCTAAATACATGGAATATGCAAATAAGAAGAATAGGAGTGAAGGAATTGCAGTGGAGTGTTAAGATTTGCAGGTAGCGTTGCTACCTTTTGGCTGTCAAAATCCGGGAGAGGAAAAAAGTATCTGGGAAAAGAAAAGTTTTTTTTTCAGTCGCAGCTGAAAAAAACTCCGCCTCCTTAATCTCATTTAAAAGTATTTTTTGATCTGCAGGAGCAAGCACACTTTCGCAAATACTTGTACATTTTGTTCTACCACAAGAAATCTTTTTTGCCAAAGAAAAATCTGGAAATAGGGTGCTGTGCAATTTGTGTGCAATCCTGGGTATTAAAACTATGGTGGTGCTTAATCCTATGATAGACTGAAGTAATTTCAATTGCTGATATAATTCTTCTGAAGATTTCTTCAGAAAAAAGTTCAAAACCGATTGCGAAGAATCCCTATTCAATATTTACAATTGGCGTTTCTTGCTTTGGGTTAAAGCTCTAACATCCTTGTACTTAATATTAACCGTTTTCCAACATACTTTACATTCTCTGTTAAAGTTGTCTCTCTTCATAAGCCAATGAGTTTGAGTTAACCACTTATCTTGAAACGACGTCGAATATTTTGTCTTTTTTTCACGCGTTCATCTACAGAATCAGAATCTTTTTTCTTTTTTTACTAGACATTATTACGAAAGCATTTAAATAATTTCAAAATACACACTTGTTTGTCGATAGCGACCTAACTGCAGAATAAATGAGAGAATGGTTTGAAAATGTGAGGGTGCAACAAACCGGCATGAAACTACTACTCATCTTATAAGGCGCTTGCTCACCGCTCACCATAGATCACTGCTGCAAAGAATATGTATTGACATAGACGTTCTTTGGCTGCTGTACGCGGTCATGTGATTTTCGACGCTGTCAACCATTTTGTCCATGCACATTGTATCCTTATTTTCAAGAAACTTGATATTCTGGGAGGGAAATATTTATTTTATATTCCTTTCAGTAACCGGGAAATTTTAATTTTCAGGGCTCAATTCCGGGAGAGGTGGGAACCCTATTTGCAGGGCATGTTTTGGCAATAGGTACCAAAATATATGCATTAATAAACTGAATTCATACATTAAAACTACTTAAAGTTTTCATTAAAAATAGAGGTTTTGCAGATGACCCGTCTGCTAGCTCAGCAAGTTACTGAATGGTATGTCACCTTCTTTTGTTCTCTTTCAGGTTTTGGGTAGTTATATTTCTAATAATGATGATATAAATACATCAGAAACTGCAAAAAAGGAAGCTCTTTTTATGTAAGATTTAATGATGATTTCATAGCTTCTCTGATGTTAAGACTGCTTTCATGTATGTGTTCTGTTGAGAATTCTAGCTTTATTCCAGTGTATTATAGAGTTTGATATTTTATTTTGTAATTAATTAATGGTATATTCTTTCCAGTTATTGTTTTTCGCTTTCTGTATAACTTTTTTATATTCTATAATCCTTGTCATCTGCAGAGATGTTGAATCTCCATACTGTATATCATTTTCTATTCTCTGTGCATTTATTCTATAGTGTTATGAAATATCCCAGTCACAGTAAGATAGCTTCCCCGCAAAGCAGGTTAGGGTTGCCATAAAATGGCAGGGAAAGGCAGGGTTGCCACATTTGGCGAGAAATCACCCATTTGGTGACAAAATTGGTGATATACCATGGACGGATAGAGAACCTTCTGGAACGAATTCTTACCAGTTTAGCCCAAAATGTTCTCGAGCACACGCCATAAACTATATACCCTGCTGGTATGCGGAGAGTCAGTGTGAGTACGAGATAGTTAGTGTCGAAGTCTAGCGTCGAGCTGGTCGTTTAGTGCATCATCGACAGAGTGTGTTAAGCTTCGGGAAGCCGAAGAGTCGAGAGCTGTGCTGCGTGTGTCGTCGAGTGCATGGAGAGTCTTGAGAGTATGTGGTGTTCCAAGAACGACCGAGCAGAGTCAGGAGCTGTACTCTGGTGCTTTGCAGTGAAGCTGTCTTCACCGTTATTGCTTGACAGTGTAAAGGCTGTGTCGCTGATTGTTCCAGCATGTTTATAAAAGATCTTTGACAACTGTAAAAGTGTTTTGGAGCTGTCCTGATTAATATTGGTAAATAAAGTGTGTTTCAAATATTCCATCAAGTGCTGTCGTCGTTATTCACTCCAAATCCACACGAACCCCATTACGAACGTGAAGGAAGAAAATAATGTAACAACTGGTGTTGGGGGGGGGGAACGCAACAATAGTATAGTCTCCTTTTGTTTTAATATTGCTCCTAATGTTAGTTTCTTTTATCTCCATATTGCTGTGGTAGATATACTACAGCAGCAACTTAACGTCAGTGAGAAAAAAATATAAGAAGGTAATGTATCTATAGTTCTTATTACATATATTGTAAGAAAGTAAAAATGAAAACTATGCATAAAATTAGTCATAAAACCAGATGAGCTGTTGAGATCATGATTAGACTGTATTGCAGTAAAGGACTTCCTTTCAGTCTCCCATATATCTGTATGGCCATTTTTGAAAATACAAGTTGACCCCCCCCAAATCACAGAAAACTGAATTAAAAAAAAAAAAAAAAAAAAAAAAAAAAAAAAAACTGAGCGTCAGTGAGAAAAGAATATAAGAAGGTAATGTATCATTTGGATTTTTGTTAATGAAAAATAAAGGATGGACAGCTTCTAAACCAGTTTTATTTACTTATTTCGACCATATGCTGATTATTTTTCAGGTTGTAAGTAGGCTTATGAGTTACAAATTTAGGTATTCTTAAATGTATCTTTAACTCATCACTTAAACCAGTTTATATCATACTTTTTCCTTTTTCGAATTCTTGAAATAAGTATGACTCATGAAATCTCTGCATAAAAAGTATTAATATATAAAACTAAATAAAATAATGGCAAAACTGAGGAAGTAACCGTGGGAGACAGTCAAGAAAATACATGAACAAACGGGTATTATTTCATCATTAACACCTTTTGGTTCATTTTATTCATTTACTTGTTAATTTTAGTGATTCCACTAATATTAAATTGCATTTTTTGTTTGCTTTATTACAGCCAGAAAGGATTGATCCAGGCAGGGCAAGAGGATATGATGTCAGATCTGATGTTTGGAGTTTGGGGATAACATTGGTAACACATTAGAAGTCATTTATTTTAATCTGTAGTTAGAGATTTTGTCAAATTTCTGTATTTACATCACTTTGGTTGATCTTTTTGCATTTCTCTTCAGTTTTGTTAAAACAATTAAGACTTAGATCCTAAGTATAGTAGTAACTCGATTTTTCTGTTTTGTAAAGTAAAATGCTTAGTCAACCTAATTTTTTTTCCATATTTTATTATTAGTATTATTGTTATTTTTAATCCTGACAGATTTGCTTGATAAATTTAAATTCTAGATAGTTTGTGTACATTTTAAAATGTATATCAAAGAATAGTTTTTTATTTATTATAATTATTACCTGTACTTGCAATAGAACAGATCTATTTTATCTTATTTCATTTTCCATGCTCGCATAATACAGCCATTTTGTTCCTAGTTTATGTAGTATCTTTCTTTTATGGTTATTGTATGCAATATAAGGTAATGCAATTAAGTAACTTAAAACAAGCGATGTTGTGAACTTCATAAAGCAAGGAGTTTTGTTTTACATATTGAAGAGCTATAAATTTGAAAAGAAATTGCACTATTTGGTTTCCTTAATTTATTACTGGAAATTTGAAAATCTTTTAAAATAGTTTTTGTTTTGTTCTCTTGAACAATAACTGTATAGAAGCATGCATATAAGTACATCCATCTCATTTCTTAAGTATCATTTATCTTATATAGTAAATCTGTTTTGATTAATTTATATACATTTTGAACAATATTGCATGCAATATAATACAGTATACTTGCTTTTAATTATGAACAGTTGAATTAGCAGTATACTTCCTTTTAATTATGAACATTATAAGCTGAACAGGAATGTCCCCTCCTGCTTAATAACATATATTGACACATATTAAAAAAGAAATATTCTAGAAATATGCTTAATAATGTTTTTTTATCATTTTTGTTTTAAAGAAGGTGAAGAGTTATATATATATACTGTGAAAATTCAAAGCTTTGTAACTGATTTTAAAAATTGAAATTTTTAAATAATAAGCATGAAGTGTTAAAAACTTGAGCAGTTAAAAAAATCACCAAAAGTGAATAAATTGCATTAAAAATTTGGTACAAAATTCATTAAAATTCTTTTCCTCTTTAATCTATTTGATGGTGCAAAATAGTAAAATTTTGTGATTTTTTAGTTACTTTGTTAAGTGAAGCTCTGTATGAAAAATCAATAAAAATAATTTCAGCATTAAATAAAAAAAGGCTAAATTAAATTTTAAAAAATTGTTTAGTATGTGCCTTTTTCATATCTGGACAAAATACATTCCAAATTTTGTGCTCTAGGCCCGTCCCTTTCTACACTATGCCATAAACTCATACACAGACCCTTCATTTAATGATAATAGCAATTCTGCTATTCAATATGAGATACCAATATAAGCAAGCTTATCGTTCTGATGAGAAATGTGGCCCAGCAAACATTAGCTAAAATGGCCGCCATTTTGAAGGTATACAGGAAGGGAAACAGCTCTCCATTATTTGAGTACTGAAGAAGAGAAACCTGCAGATAGTCATTGGAAGATGAAGAAGCAATATTAAGAATGTCTGCATATCACTTCAACAGGACAAGTTTTTAAGCAGTCTCTTACTGTAAGCTGTTAAGAAGTTTTGTACTTGCAAATGAGACAAAAGAGGCGATGTAATAGTCACTACACAGTTAATCAAAGTTCCCCCCCTCCAATATTTCAAAGAAGGTATATTGTTTATTCTTTATGTAAAAAATCATGTGCTGGAAATATTAAATCTGTGGACATGATTGTGCCTTATCTGGAAATTGGCAAACTGTAGTACTGAAGTTGGATGTGTTACGTGTGACCAGAATGTCGAGAAACGGAAGAGAATTGCAAGTCTCAAGTTCAAAAGTGAACTGAATAGCAGGATCAATAGAATTCATTGTTGAAAGAACTTTATTTAAATCATCTTTATTACCTTCAAACAGGGTAAAAGTATCATCTACGTAGCGGAACCATGCCGGGAAGTTTAAAGTTTCAAACAATTTTGATTCATAATAATGCATGTAGATATCAGCCAGGATGGGACTGAGGGGGCTTCCCATGGCTAATCCCTCAGTTTTGCTTGTAATATTTATTTTGGAAAACAAAATGTGTTTGTTTCAAACAGAGTTGAGTGAGAGAAATTAGCTCATCAATTTCGATGCAAGAGAAATGAAATTCGCGAAGTCTGGTTTCTAGACATCTTAATGCACCCTCCACTGGGACATTGGTGAATAATGATTTTACATCAAAAGAAACCATGAGTAAATTACTAAGAGAAATGTTTTTAACCTTTTTTACAAACTCTATTGAATTTTTTATGGTGTAAATGTTATTGTCTAATAGAGTGGAAAATCTAGAAACTAAATATTTAGCTAAAGGATACGAGGCAGTACCTAAATTTGATACAATAGGGCGGAAAGGAATACCACTTTTATGAATTTTGGGAAGAGCATATAATCTGGCACAATTCGCAACAGATGGGATAAGCGAATGTTTTAAGTTGCTTGAAATGATTTGCGAAGATTTGATCGCAGTTTTTATTTTGGATAAGTCCGAAGGTGAAGGATCTTTAGGGATCGGATTATATGGTCCTTCGTTTAAGAGTTTAGTGACACCATCGATGTAAGTGTTCTTATCCATGACGACTATCTGGCCACCTTTGTCGGCCTTCGTAATGATAATATCCGGGTTAGAATGAATTTCGCGCATTGTAGCTCTTTCTCTCGCAGTTAGATTTGGTTTCAAAGGTTTATTATTGAATTTCACATTATGAGCGATAACATGCCTAATCATTTCTTTCTGTGAATCTGAAACTTTACTGAACTTGAAAGCTTTTTCGATAGGAGCCAAAATCTTTGGAATCGAGGGTTTACAGGTTTGTGAGAAGTTAAAATTATATTTTAGAATTCTCTCTTGTTCTTCTGAAAGACTAACATTAGAAATATTAACTATTGGCTTGATGTTTACAATGGGAAGATTTTTTGAACTACTTGAACTGGAAGACTGTAAAAGAAGTTTTTAGTTAATAGTTAGTTAATAGTTAGTAAGTTAATAGTTAATATTTCTAATGTTAGTCTTTCAGAAGAACAAGAGAGAATTCTAAAATATAATTTTAACTTCTCACAAACCTGTAAACCCTCGATTCCAAAGATTTTGGCTCCTATCGAAAAAGCTTTCAAGTTCAGTAAAGTTTCAGATTCACAGAAAGAAATGATTAGGCATCTTATCGCTCATAATGTGAAATTCAATAATAAACCTTTGAAACCAAATCTAACTGCGAGAGAAAGAAAGAGAGCTACAATGCGCGAAATTCATTCTAACCCGGATATTATCATTTCGAAGGCCGACAAAGGTGGCCAGATAGTCGTCATGGATAAGAACACTTACATCGATGGTGTCACTAAACTCTTAAACGAAGGACCATATAATCCGATCCCTAAAGATCCTTCACCTTCGGACTTATCCAAAATAAAAACTGCGATCAAATCTTCGCAAATCAAGCAACTTAAAAACATTCGCTTATCCCATCTGTTGCGAATTGTGCCAGATTATATGCTCTTCCCAAAATTCATAAAAGTGGTATTCCTTTCCGCCCTATTGTATCAAATTTAGGTACTGCCTCGTATCCATTAGCTAAATATTTAGTTTCTAGATTTTCCACTCTATTAGACAATAACATTTACACCATAAAAAATTCAATAAAGTTTGTGAAAAAGGTTAAAAACATTTCTCCTCGTAATTTACTCATGGTTTCTTTTGATGTAAAATCATTATTCACCAATGTCCCAGTGGAGGGTGCATTAAGATGTCTAGAAACCAGACTTCGTGAATTTCATTTCTCTTTGCATCGAAATTGATGAGCTAATTTCTCTCACTCAACTCTGTTTGAAACAAAAACACATTTTGTTTTCCAAAATAAATATTACAAGCAAACTGAGGGATTAGCCATGGGAAGCCCCCTCAGTCCCATCCTGGCTGATATCTACATGCATTATTATGAATCAAAATTGTTTGAAACTTTAAACTTCCCGGCATGGTTCCGCTACGTAGACGATACTTTTACCCTGTTTGAAGGTAATAAAGATGATTTAAATAGAAGTTCTTTCAACAATGAATTCTATTGATCCTGCTATTCAGTTCACTTTTGAACTTGAGACTTGCAATTCTCTTCCGTTTCTCGACATTCTGGTCACACGTAACACATCCAACTTCAGTACTACAGTTTACCGTAAACCTTCATCGGTTTGCCTTCCACCACACTTTAAATCATGTCATCCGACTAAACAAAAGTTAGCTTCATTTTATTCCTATGTTTTCCGTGCTCTTCAAGTTTGCTCCTCCAAACTAGCCCTTGATGAAGAACTAAATTATTTAAAAGCAATAGCTATTGACAGGGGCTTTTCACCCAACATTATTAATCAAGCAGTTAAAAAATTCTCATCTCAACACACTAAAAGCCACATTCTTCTCTAGTTTTAGGAGATTATAAAAATTCTATTGTCATTCCCTTCTTTCCATCAATTAGCTATAAAGTTGCACATATTTTGCAGAAATTTAACTTTCGGGTTGTTTATTCTCCCATCAATAAAATTCCAACTTCTATACTCAAGGACCCCATTCCGGATATGAATTCCTGGGGTATTTATAGGATTCCTTGCCAGTGTGGTTTTATTTACATTGGCCAAACTAAGAGAGCCTTAAAATTTCGCGTCAAAGAACATGAGGCATATGTTAGAAAAAAGGAAACACAGAAGTCTTCTGTTGCTCAACATTGTTGGTCCGAAAATCACACTTTCAATTTTTCTGCTGCCAAAATTATTCAAAAAAACATCTTCCATTGGAGAACTGGATTTTCTAGAGGCATTTCACATTCATAAAAATCTTTCTGTTCTAGTTAACGATCCTAATTCCAATCCAAATTTGCCTTCGGCTTTTAGAGAAATTATGTTTTAGCTTTGGTTTCGCCAACAGATGGCGCCACTTGCTTATTCTTGTCCAGGCTTTCTTATCTAATCATTATTTCCTATCTTGTTCATTTGTGGTTTTGCAGCTGAAGATGATGGTTCAGTAAAACCATCGAAACTAGTCCTGTGAAAATTTTGTAGGTATAACGCTGATTTTTGTTGTTTGACTTCTGAGTATTTATTCGGCGTGTTATTGTGTCTTAACAATAAATGTATTTAATAACTTTAATCTTCGTTTCACTTTTTTTAGTAGTATGTCTAATTAATGCAAATTCAGATGCATTTAATTTCTAACAAATGTAGATGATTGTTATGAACATTTACAGCTTTATTTTAGTTAATAAAAGATGTAGCCAATGCCATTTGTTATCTAAGTGGTAGAAAATCTTTTTTTTTTTTTATTGGGAACTTTTAAAATTTGCATTTGAAAAAAATATTTTTTGTGTGTTCAAATACTTAATGGTAAACTTCTTTCTGAGGTGTGAGATTGTAGTTTGAAATCTTCAAATTGCAATTTCTCCTTTATTTTATTCGTTAATTTTTTACGAACATGATATATTTGCATTGAGGTGGTAAGGAATATACCAAAAGTTATAGTTTCTAGTTCTATTTTTGCATATTTTATTAGTAAAAAAATTTTATTTGACCTTTCCCATTGCAGGAAAAATGATAAAATAAAAATAAACGATTTCCCCTTTAATTATAAAAACCTCTTGCTTGTTTTTTTATGCATTCTGAAATTAAGATTTTTTGGTTGAATTTTAAAATGGTGCACAGCAGTAACTGACATTGTTACATACATCTTTTATTAGTTCTTAATATAGAGAACATAAATTGTATTATATTTAAAGCATGTTATTTTGTAGCAATCATTGTGATAATTTTAAATATTGTTTGTTTTAGATTGAGGTATCTACGGGCAGGTTCCCGTACCCTAAATGGAACAGTGTTTTTGAACAATTAACTCAAGTTGTACAAGGTGATCCACCACAGATCAGTCCTAATGAAAATGGAAATACATTTACATTAGAATTTGTAAATTTTGTGAATACTTGGTAAGAATGAAGTTTATTCTTGACTAATATTTCTAAAGTAGTTTTGATGTATTTTACAATTTTTTTAAAACTAAATCCATATCTGTACTTTGTTGAATATTGTTGAAATGATTAATTTAGCTTTGATCTTTATTTCTTGTAAACAAAAATTAAATTTATTTTGACAGTTTTTCTGATATTAAATTTATTTATTGTTTTGAATGCATTGGGGGTTTTTTATTGATAGAATGTGTTTATTAACTTTGAATTCTTATTTTGTTCTGCCAAATTTATTCAAGAGTAAATTTATTTGATATTAAGATAAAAGTTCATTTTTGTTTCTTTTATACTTTCGGAAAAGAATCACCATTAAGAATGACATAACTTTAGTTACAGGTTTTTCAATAGGTGTTATTGTTTCAGGGATGTATGATAAGATTTTTTCTTCATAAACATAATTTACATAATAAATTTTAAACAAAGAGAGCATATTAAATTAGCAATAATGAAAGTACTGCATTAAATTTAGTACCAAAAGGTGTTTTGCATGAAATAACAAGTTTATCTGTAACTATTAGTTTCTTTTTAATAATTAACCCCCCAAAAGAAAAAAACTTGTCTCTCTCTCATGGTTGCCTCACAGGGAAGTTAAATCTACAGTTGTGCATATAAAAAAGTACAATTACTGCACATTTATTTTCGATTACAATTACTACACAATTATTTTTTATTACATATTCTACAATTACATTTACTTACCCTGTTTTTCTTCAAAGATCTGATTTAGTGTGATACATTTTGAAACATTGCAAGAGACATAGTCCAACGTCACAGTCCTGACAAAAATACATAGTCTCTTTTCTAATTCTTTTGCCATTGTCATTTTTTTTCAGTGAACATACATAGCGCTGTCTTGCAGGTTTTAGTTTTATGTCTGTAGGTGAAATCACCTCTAAAAAATGTCTTTCTGTCAGTCTTAGTGGAGTTGGTAAATTTCCAGGTCGACCTTTCCTTTCTTCTACTGCTGCATATCTTTCAATTAGTCGGTCGATAATATCTAATCGAAACTGTGAATTTGTATCTTTACTGTCATGCATCTTGTACAAAACATAAGCTTTCCATAAACTGATGTTTAGGAGATGAAAAAATATTTTTATAGTATTTCTTACCCCTTTTTTTTTATCACAGGATAAGTATTTAGGTTTTGGTCCATTCGATCTACACCACCCATTTTGTTGTTGTACTCCATAACTACCCTCTTTTCATTTTATGTCATTCTTGTATGTGGGTACTTCAACCATTTCTGGATTATGTACTGTAGATATAACAGACATGGCTTTTTTGTCCATCCATTTCATAATGCACACTTTTCCTCTCTGGTAAGCGACCATTTGCCCTTTTTGAAGTTTTTCATTCAACAGTGCTTTAGGAACTTCTTTTCTCTGAAGTTTTAATGTTCCATACATATCTGTGCAGCAACTAATCAGGACATCTGCTATTTCAGGTGATGAATAAAAGTTATTGGTTGTCAGACAGTATCCTTTATGTAAAAGTGGTTGCATTAGTGTCATTACAACCTGAAGCGATTTGCTCAAATATTTGTAAATGTCCTTAAATACAGTTCCTGTTCCTGTGTAAATTAACATAGACTATATATATCCAGTTTTTGGTTCACAAAGCATGTACATTTTTATTCCAAACCATGATTGTTTTAGTGGGATATATTGTTTCCAACTAAGTCTTCCTTTGTATAACATAAGACTCTCGTCTATGGTGATATCTCATTCAGGGGTAATGATTGGAACCTAGTTTTCCACAGACCAGATTTTAACTAATTTTGGGCACTCGTAAGACTTTATGGCAAATTTTTCATTATCTGAAAAATGTAAATAACTGTGAATTAATTGGAAACGACGATATGACATTACTTCGGGAAAAAACGGTGTAGATGTAGAATGCCTCTTGCTCCATTACTGCCCAACTACTGGCTTTTTTATAATACCTTGAAGAATAATCAAAGCAAAAAATACCTGTATTTCTGGCCGGTAGCTACATCAATATTCAAGTTAATTTTTGGATTTCCAATGAAAGCATATGTAGGAGGTGGATTGGGTGGATTATTAGAATGAATTTAAAAAAATTGCCTTGCTTGGCTGAGACCATCTATACTACTCTCAGAGTCACTAGTGTCGCAGTCACCTAGAAAACTTTCACTACTTCCAGACTCATTTGCAGATATTTTAGATTCTGCTTCCGAATCACAAGAAATTAGCTCCATACGTTCTGAATCATCCATTATTTTATGATAAAGATAGTTTACACTACTTGTATATAAACGAAGTTATCAAGTAACATGTAAAATACATACTAAAAGCTAAATACTCAAAGACAAAAACTCACAGTGTAATACAAAACTTGTGAAAAAGCCTGTGCTTTTAGACCAAACAGAATACGTTTCGCAAACTAATATTTGGTGGACAACTACTATCATCTATATGACTAATTAGACATTAAAAATAAAAAAATACGCCAAAACAATGAAAGCGACAAAGAAATGAGATTGGCCACACGCCGCATGAGCGAATCATTACAGGCACGAAAACCGTGCCCGTACGGCATATGCGCAAAACAGGTAATGGGTTAACAACAGGCACTTTGAAAAACTAAAAAATATTTGTTTTAAAACATTTTCTTTAGGTGTGATGAAAACTGATATGTGGATTCCATGTTTACTAATAGCAAGAGAAATCTGTCATGATTCTAGCACAGCTAGACCATTTATTTGAATAAAACAGAAGTGCAGATAAGTCAGTTTATTTTAATAACCCCTGTGGCTTGGATATGAACAGTTATCTGGCTTATTATGGATGTACACATTTCATAGTTCTGTGAGGTAAAATGTGCCTGATATTAGCTGTTTTATCGCAAATGCACTCAGTTGGATTGAAGTTGAACAGTGGGGCAAGGCTGTTGATGTTATAGAGATAGCCCTGAGAACATCATGGCATTTGTGGTAGATTTGTTTGTAGATTTAGAAAATTGTTTGTAGATGGTATGTTAATAAAACTGGTCTTGGAATATTGTTGAAATACTTTACTACTATGAGAGTTGTTATGGAGATCTGTCTATCATAGAAAGTGACATCAAGAATGTATAATTTCACACTATAGGCTGAATGCACTTACTGGTTCATCTCCAAGCATAAATATATAAGCCATTGAAGTTCTCAGAGAGAACTATGATTCACCTACAAATCTGACATGATTAAGTGGACTTATCCCATTTCAACTAAGGCAGATAACACTGTGAATTGTGTCAAAGGTGCTTACTGGTCATTGTTAGAATGGAGGGCTATTCTTAAATTTATTTCATAATGATATAAGATGGCTACCATTGTAGGTGATATGCTGAATTGCACTTATTCTCATATTTGTAGGCGATGTTGATGAAAAGCACTATGTTTGGTGTTGTTTATACATTTTACACTAGCCCTTAATAATGACATTTTAGTCCACTAATAGGTGAATGACCAGTGCGCAAACACCTGTAAGCTGTAAGTCTTTCAGTTGTTGACAAACTTTTTTTTTGCCTCTGAAGGAGTATCTTCTCAAGATCTGAAATCTGTCTCAGACTAAGATTTTTTTTTGGCCTAATTTTACATTTTTTTTTTTTTTTTTTGTATTTGTATTTGTAAATGAAATCCATTCTTTAATTTTATATGGTGTTATAACTACTGTATAAACAAATGTATGTTATTTAACAAAATTTTTTCAAAAGTAAAAGATGTTTTGTTGTCTTTTGTCATGTTGTTAGGTAGAATTAAGTAGTATAATTTATTTAAGTCATTAGATAGGTGCGCACATACATAACTATAAATGTTTTCATATTATCTGAAAGTTAAGAACATCAGCATACTGCATGACACTTGTCTCAAAATCGAAACCAAACTGCCTCAGAATATACACAACTATAACTATGCCATTTTATTTAAAAGTAAGAAACATCAGCATGCTACACTACACTAATCTCAGAATTAAAACGAAGACTACTGCTATTTAGTCTTATGGACTTGGTCTCATTTAAAGAATATCGCTTACAGTTATACTGTAGCGGGCCACATATCTGGAGGCCAACTTGAAACAGTCATGCTGCTAAAAGGTGTGACATTAATGAAGCAATAATTTCTTCAGTGATGTTGCTATCTGATAATTATAAAAGCAGTAATTTCATGACCAGTGTTAGAGGATTTTGTTGATCTGCATTGTGCGTGCTATTAAAGCCTCTTGATTTCAGGTGGCTCATTGACCAGTGATTCTGCAACCTTTCTGGTATCATCTTCAACCATAATGAATCAGAAGAATTAAAAGGGTGGGGCTAAATCAATCTGAAAAATACATTAGGCAGAACAAGCATACAGAGCACTATTAAAACTTTCAACTACAGACACATTTAGTCCAAGTAAGAAATGTGTGTTTGTACGATGAAGACAGTTAACTGTACTTATCCATGAAACATTATTTTTGTGCATTAATATACGATTGTTAGTATTATTATAGTCGAGGGGTAGTGAAATATCATGTCAGCAAGAGCTGCATGTTGGTATTCAGGAAAGCCCGAGAGCTGCAGTAGGTAGATTTTCCAGTTCAACCACAAGTCCATATTTGCATCATTTTAAAAGTAGGGAAACAGGTTTCAAATGGAAAGGAACATCTGATAGCTTTGTTATAAAAAAAAAAAAAAGAAGAAGAAGAAGAAGAAGAAGAAAACTTTCTTTTGGACATTGAGTAGTTTTTATTTGCCATATTTCATACATATATTTGATTTCATGAGAGCTACACCACTCGCCTGTGAAAGCTGCATTATGGCTGCTGTAGTGAGTTACTTTAAAATAAAAACTTATTGTCATTTTTCACTCCCCAACTTTCTTTTTAACCTGGGAACGAGCTGCAGCAGATGTTTAAACAGCTTAATATTTTTCTTCCACTCCATTTCCGTTTAGCATGTGTTGCTTCATGAAATGCTCATGAATGAAGGTTGATTTGAACTACAATCTCAAATGAAGTGCAGAAAATAAGTACTGTGCAGTAGTAATGACATACATTATATTCACAGATTGGAGAAGGGTAGCAGTGGCTTTGGAGTAGCTGTGGCTTTGAAGAACCCATGTTACTATTAAGCTTTTTGAAATTAATAAATATATTAGAGTTCAGTGTTGTACTGTATGTGAGTACACAATTCCAACAACACAACCAAGCTGCTAGTCAACACAATGGAGTTGCCCTAGCACTTCCATATTATTTGAAAGCAAAGAAGATTTCAGATTATGCATTGTTTTCTGTTATATGATGTTATGTTGTCTATGTTGTGTTGTTCTGTTCTGTTATGTTAGTTGTTCTGTTATGGTGATGTTCTGTTATGTTATTTCTATTATTGAAGTTATTATATGGTGTTTTTTACTTCAAGTGTTAAAAAATTAAAATGATGAACATTTTTTTCCTTGATTTTAAATGAGGTAGATAGTTATTCTTCCTGTTTTTATCACACATCCCTAGATTGTATATAGCTGAATAATAATTCTTTATTTTCAGCTTAATCAAAGAAGAGCAGCATCGGCCAAAATATAAGAAGCTTCTGGTGAGCATAAATTGCATATTATAAGTTGTTGTACTATAACTTGCTGGTTGATGATTTTGCCTGAAACCGATTGCACAAATTTACGCTTATTTACTTCTTAATGATTTTGTTCAAAATGGTTCCTTAAATTTTAGAGAGCAAAAACAATTCTGTGTGTATTTGAATTTTAATTTAAGACTTTTCAGAATTGTCAAAATTAGTCTTGATGATCTTTTAGAAAATTATGATTTTCTTAATATGCAGATATGTATATTATAATACATTCTTTCTTATTATGAAAACAGAGGATGTGAATGAACGTATTTATGACTGATGTTTAGGCACATATCCTGAATTTAATGAATTGCTATATATGTATTATGGATTTTTTAGTTAAACAGTTTGATGCTGAAGGGGAATAGTTACATAATTTGTATATGATTCTGCCTAAAAAAGGGAGCACAGAAGCTTGAATTTCAGTAATTCAGTAAATTGTAAGTAGGAATTTATCCATGGAAAATCAGTATTTGATAAAGAGCTATAAAAGAATTTTTCTTTGCAACACTATTTAAGGCAACAATCTTCTTGGGAGGCATCGCGAAATAATTATTTTTACGTTAAATGCAATAAAACATTAACTCACAAGCGCACAAATACGTAGATCAAAGAACACTAAATGAACTACCGAAGGGGATTACCCGAGTCGAGCCGATCGGGAAATGGCGCCATGCATGCCAACAGCCTGGCTTGTTGCTCGAGTCAATTTAGAGATGAATTTTTCATTCATACTTTCCTCTTATCTCGAATTTCTCGTATATAGAGGTGCTCATGTCTCAAGGTTCCATTGTATAGCCATTTTTCTGTTGGAGGTGGAAGAATGAATTGTCTTTGACTATCTTACATTCGGACAAAAATAACGAAATCGACAAATATTAATTTAGAAGTCAAACAACAAAAATCAGCGTTATATTTGAAATTTTCACCAAACTAGTTTTGATGGTAATTCAGAAGTCAAACAACAAAAATCAGCGTTATATTTACGAAATTTTCACAGGACTAGTTTCGATGGTTTTACCGAACCACCATCCTCAGCTGCAAAACCGCAAATGAACAAGATAGGAAGTAATGATAAGATAAGATAAGAAAGCCTGGACAAGAATAAGCAAGTGACGCCATCTGTTGGTGAACCGGAACTAAAACATAATTTCTTTAAAGGCCGAAGGCAAATTTGGATTGGAATTAGGATCGTTAACTAGAACGGAAAGATTTTTATGAATGTGAAATGCCTCTAGAAAATCCAGTTCTCCAATGGAAGATGTTTTTTGAATAATTTTGGCAGCAGAAAAATTGAAAGTGTGATTTTCGGACCAACAATGTTGAGCAACAGAAGACTTCTGTGTTTCCTTTTTTCTAACATATGCCTCATGTTCCTTGACGTGAAATTTTAAGGCTCTCTTAGTTTGGCCAATGTAAATTAAACCACGCTGGCAAGGAATCCTATAAATACCCCAAGAATTCATATCCGGAATGGGGTCTTTGAGTATGGAACTCAGAATTTTATTGATGGGAGAATAAACAACCCGAAAGTTAATTTTCTGTAAAATATGTTCAACTTTATAGCTAATTGATGGAAAGAAGGGAATGACAACAGAATTTTTATAATCTCCTAAAACAAGAGTGTGCCTTTTAATGTGTTAAGATGAGAAATTTTTAACTGCTTGATTAATAATGTTGGGTGAAAAGCTCCTGTCAATAGCTATTGCTTTTAAATAATTTAGTTCTTTATCAACCACTTTTATGAATTTTGGGAATACAGTCAAAAGTCGTTAATTCGGACACCCATAATTCGGACCTCAAAGCTAAAAACTTTCTGCGCATGCGCCGCGTTGACACATGCGCATAGGCTCTTACGCGTAAGACCTTTACAACTGTGCATATGCATGTGCGCCAGCGCAGAATACGTTTTCACATGCGCGTTTAATGTATAACGAACAGTATAAGCTAAAATGATCTAATTATCCATTTCAGTTAATGTTGATGATTGCGTTGTTCCTTAATTTTCGAATTGAAACCGGATTATTATTTTTTGCAGTCTGTAAGAGCAATTTTATAAAAGTAAACTTGAACTTTCGATTACGTCAAAGGGAATTTCTGATGCTAGAGCTCCCAAAGGATCTACAAAACAAAAGTATGTTTCAATGTCCATCAAACAAAAAGTGGAATAGCTGCAAAAAATTGATAAAGACATGAAGAAGGTGACAAAGAGGTTAGTGAAAACGAAAAAATTTCAATTGACAAGTTAGTCGGTATTCTCGGCTCGGCAATCACGGGACTTGAACGGCAGAACTTTGTAACTGAACAAGAAATTATGTCTGTTTATAGAATTAAAGAGAAAGTATTATCACATAAAACGAAGCAACTTATACAGCTTACATTGAAAGAAATGTTAAATAAAGTAAACAAATAAATATTAAGCTTTTTTTTTTTTTTTTTTTTTTTTTTTTTTTTTTTTGTAAATTTTGATACCCTTTAGATCATAATTGTTTTTTATTTCATAAATTACAGTTTCATATTTTTAATTTTAGAATTTCTGCATGCCATCTTACGAGATTTAAACTGATGATCTATAATTCGGAAAAATTGATAATCCGGAATCGCTGAAGTCCCGAGGAGTCCGGATTAACGACTCTTGACTGTACCACTTTTATGAATTTTGGGAAGAGCATATAATCTGGCACAATTCGCAACAGATGGGATAAGCGAATGTTTTAAGTTGCTTGAAATGATTTCCGAAGATTTGATTGCAGTTTTTATTTTTGACAAGTCCGAAGGTGAAGGATCTTTAGGGATCGGATTATATGGTCCTTCGTTTAAGAGTTTAGTGACATCATCGATGTAAGTGTTCTTATCCATGACGACTATCTGGCCACCTTTGTCGGCCTTTGAAATGATAATATCCGCGTTAGAATGAATTTCGTACATTGTAGCTCTTTCTCTCACGGTTAGATTTGGTTTCAAAGGTTTATTATTGAATTTCACATTATGAGTGATAAGATGCCTAATCATTTCTTTCTGTGAATCTGATTTGATGGTTTACCAAACCATCATCCTCAGCTGCCAAAGAGCAAATGAACCAAATAAGATATAGTGATAAGATAAGAATGACTGGACAGGAGTTAAGCTACTGGCCATCTATTGATGAAACAAGAAAACTTTGAATGTGAAATGCCTTTAGAGAAAATCTAATTCACCAATGGAAGATGTTTTTTGAATAATTTTGGCTGCAGAAAATGAAAAGTGGAATTTTTGGACCAACATTGCTGGGCAAGAGGACTTCTGTGTTTCATTTTCCCTAACATATGCCTCCCCAAGTAGCACACGACATTGCAAACTGGTCCGAAAGTTGCAAAGTGGTCATGGTAACTTTTATGACGTCTTTACAACATTGCGAAGATGCAAAATATTTGCCGTTGCATCTTGGCAATTTGTCGACGTTGCTGAAACGTCATGATATGACCACTTTTAGACATGGTCATTTTAGCATCTTTTTCATAGTTCATCAGCGTTACTTTTAGAATGAAAAGAGACTAAATCGGCCCTTTCAAGAATCTGAAGTCCACATAAGATTTACTTTGTAATGTTTCATTACTTTGTTTAATCTAAATATATTAATCTAAGGTAGAATTCATGTCTTGAAATATAAATTTAATGTAAATACTTTTGATTTATTAAATTTAGTTAGTACTAAAAATACGTGCTAAATAATTCTTTAAAATTTTGTTAAAATAAGTAATACTTAAAATATTTTTTATAATTATTATAGCAAAATATTAAAAAATGAAACTAATCTATAAGATATTAAGTTATGCATTTTATATATTTTAAAAAATCATATTTCCCAAATCAATGCAAATCACATGTTAGCAATTATTTCACCACTGAAATATGACTTTATTTATTATTTTTGAAGTAAGGACGAATTTATTTGAATTAATATGGTAACGTTATATGAAACGTTTTACCGCATACATTACAAAAAGTACAATTTTCACGAAGATATGATTGTGTGTGAAGATGTATTCACGGAATGAAAAATGGGGCGATTTTAAGAATTCCAAGAAAACGTCCAGTGTTGAAAGACCATGCATATTTAACGGCTGTCCAATATATATGACGGAAAACTCATTGACAGTCAGGAGAAGCAGAAGGGTACATTATTTACTGGATGCTTATACACTGCTCGACATTGAAAATGCAACACCAAGGAGTGGTCAGAAAGTGATGAAATTTGGAAAAAAGACAGGGACAGCAAGCAGCAATAAGTGATCTTTATTTCAAAATGATTGTCAGAATACAGTGCGAGAACAGTGTCGACTCAGTAGGATGTAGAACCACCGTGGACAGCGATGCACGAAGAAACACGTCTAGGCATAGAGTCAATAAGAGTGCAGATGGTGTTCTGAGGGATGCCTCTCCATTCCCTTTCAATCATTTGCCACATTTCATCTTCTGAATGAGCCAGGGGCAGAGTCTGCAAATGGCGTCCAATCACATCCCACACATGTTTGATTGGTGACAGGTCAGGAGAGTACGGTGGCCAGAGAAGCATCTGTATACCTTGCAGAGCATATTGGCAGATGCGATCACTATGTGGTCGGGCATTATCCTGTTGAAAAATTGCATTAGGCAGCCCCTGAAGGTAGGGGATTGCCACCGGCCACAGTACATTATCCAAGTATTGTTGGGCCGTCATAGTGCCCTGAATACGAACTAGAGCTGACCTGTAATTGTAGGCAATAGTGCCCCAAACTATTATGCCATTTTGTCGCATGGTGAGGCGTTCCACAGTTACTGCCGGATTAGATCTGTCTCCATGTCGACACTACACATGTATGCGGCGACTGTCACTGGATAAGCAGAAGCGTGACTCCTCTGAGAACACAACATTTCGTCATTCTGTCATCCATATTGCTCCAGTCTGGCACCATTCTAAATGTTGGCGTCTATGCTGTGGGGTCAGT